ATTATATTAATGTTTCTTGAAATAGGGCTGTTTAACCTGACTACAAGTACTTATAATTTATTTTCAGAAGACAATTACCGAATTACTTATAACACAGTTTTTAAGAAACCTTTAGATATACTTTTCATTTCAAAGTAATATTTTATTCCCAAGTGTATACTAAGTAAACAATGGGGTTGCAGAATGGAAACGCTATGCTTCGGCTTCGGGTTTTGATTTCGTTTCTGGGGTTTCGGGGCTCCTGCGCCAGACAGGCGCAAATATGATGTCCATAAATCTCGCTAATAACCAATCCTGGCCAGGGTTCCGAATGCAAATTGCTCATGCTCGGATGGCAGCCCCCAACATGTCTGGGCGCAGTGGTTGGCCATGTTGGTGGTTGGCTTTGGGTGGACATTTCTCTCAGACAGCCACCACCCAGCTTTGCATATGAAATGATGTTGGGTACTCTACCTCGCCGGGACATAATCCCCTTTACGGAGGTGCCGGGCTCCATTTGGCACACTCGGGCATATTCATAATGCATTCAAACCCCCAAAAACCGTTCGCTCGCTGGTGTTGCAGTAATTTTGGGGAAGGAAAACCCCTCCTCTTTGTCCATTCAGCTGACAACTGGCGTGGAAAGTTACCGCTGCGGTGCTGGCGGTTTTCCATTTTATTCGAACCGAGTGGGGAAGGACGATTAGGGGTGCCAGTCGCAACCTCAATGACATGTCCTTTTGAACGGACTCACTTTAAGCGTACTTAGATTTGAAAACTCTTTTAATTTTACTACTTTTTTAAACAAAATACCTTTTCCTTACTTAAATATAGTTTGTTTTATATTAATCTTGATTTCATATCATTTTTAAAGGACTCCCCTAAAGCTTACTTAGATATGAAAATGTATCATTTTATCACTTGTTTAAAGTGGAAGTAATATTTCCTAATTTAAGTATCATTTCTTATTATATTATTTAACAAACTAATTTATGAATATTTTAGTTTTAAAGTTTTTTTTTTGCAATTTAGTGTTTATAAAAGTGGTTTACCTATTTGTTTGTTATTTATTTTAGTTGCTGTACTTTAAAACTCATTAGTTCCAATGCAGCTATTGTCTTACAACCAAGTTCTCACCTTAGTTGGGGCAATTACTCTTGTTTCATCTCCTCGGTCCAGTGTCCAAATTCAGTATCGTAAGACCTGAAAGTATCTGTAATTGGCCCAACCTCGATGGCCTTTTTGAACCTCGGCCCTTGCATGGTTGTTAGGGATTAATGCAACTTGCGCTGGCCAACTAACAATTTTAATAAATTACCGTTTGCTTTGTCAAATTAGAATATTATTTATTTAGAATGTAAATATGAACAGTTGACCACAGACACAGGTATTTTAGCCATTTTATCCCAACTTTGCCGCAGAGCCAACAATTTCCCAACCGTCTGAGTTTTCATTTGTGCGGGAGTGTGTGTGGGTTTGGGAAATGCAAACATTTATCGACACGCACATTTGCCGAGACCCCCTTTTGACGGTAAATATGCAGGAAAAATCCCCTTCCATTCGGGAGCCCCGTTTCTCTTCGTCGTCATTAATATTTATGCCATTCCAGGGGGCTGGGCGCACTTTTTCGCAAACACAAATTGCAGTTACATTAGAAATGTAATTATTATTTTAATTGGACTGCGATGCTCATTTGTTTAGTGGCCGGTGCGAAAGGCGGTTCCATTTGGTGTTTGTCCGCGCGACGGCCACAAATAATAAATGGACGAAACACTCTCTGCCATTCGGTTTGTCGGTTAACCGAGACACTGTAAATATGAATAATTTCGGACGATGCCGGTTCCGTTTTTCCCCCTATCAAATTAGTCAGCTCTTTCCCACTCTTATTTCGATTTGAAATCACCCATACCCCTGTTTAAACTGCAGTCGCATCATAAAAATTCATCTGTTGGAATGTGGAAAATGGCAGGCCACTTAACCCGTGTCAGGTCGAGAGGTGTGCTTTTGACCCATCGCTATTTGGTCTCTAACAAATGAGTTATAATAAAAGTTGGCAAGATATATATTTAAAAATTAGGCGTGAAACAACTAACTTATAATAAAATTTCTAGTTATCCAGCAGAAAAATATGTTCAAGTTTATTAGGAACAAAGAAACATTGCCAATTTAAGTTTCTTTTTTTACCAAACAAAGCTTAAGGATATTCACATAATCTGTTTAGTTTCTAAAAATGTATATTTAATAATACAAATTTATTATAAACAAAATCCTATATTTTATAAGGGTTAACCATATTCTTTTCAATTTTAAAGATTTTTCCCTATCTACTTTGCTCCGCCTCTGGTGGCAACTTTTATAATTCCGCTGCACCCAGAGCCCGTCTCCTTTCAGAATTCTTCCAATCAACGCAAAGTGCAAAACGCGTTCCGCCCCGGCTCCCCGTCCCTCCGCCCCTCCACCATTCCCCTGGCCCTGCGAAAATGCATCGCATCAGCGGAGATGCCTCAAGATGCGAATGGCAGCTGCCGGATTCAAATTCAATAATTTTTTGCCGCGCTCACGTCGCCGTCTTGGAAATAATGATGATGTTCGCTTCATTTTTCCTGTTTTCGACTCTTCCATTTTTGTTTCGATTTTGCGCTGCAAATCTCCAATCCCCATCATTTCGCGTTGGGAAGCTGAAATCTTGAAATCTTCGAATGGCGGATCTTGGCTAAAATGACGACACGAAATTGGTTGATAGCTCTGAGGCATGCCTCATCGTAAAAGAATAAGTCATTATTTTATTAGAGAAAATAAAAGTACATAAGTAACCAAAATAAGTATATACGTGCAGAAAAAGTGAAAGATATAGTTTCAAACTAATTTATTAATGTTTATTAAATATTTCTATGGTATCTTACTAAATACATTTATATAAAAAAGTAAGCAATTGTCCAAATTCTGATAATAAACCACATATCTTACAGCAAGATTTTAAATTACAAACAGTGTAGTTAAGGTTGAAAAAAATTAAAGTAATACTTTTTTAAAAAAAAGATGTTCATCAAGCTTGCTCTCATCTGCAGATGAAAGTTTCTGCAGAGTTTAAAGGAATCTGCATGCATATTAAAAAAAATTTCTGCAGACTTTAAAGGAATCTGCATGCTTATAACCATATATCTGAACAATGCTGGCTCTCAGCGGTTAATCAGCCATTCAGTTGCCGGCCAGCTTTCCCGCTGGCCTCCTTTAGAGCCGCGACCCCTCCTCGGGCCTTCGACTTTGGCAATGCTGCCTACAAGGCCGCCAACAAAATGATTTGTTTGAAGTTTGATAAGCGGATGGGACTGTCGACGGCGTCATCGAGGCATCGCGGTAGATGTATCTGTATCTGAGCCTGGGCATTGGCTTTGGCTCTGGCCGGGGATAAATCGGGGGATATATCGCTGGCATCTGAGCCTCGGCAGCGGCAACAATAACTAAATGACTTTTGTTTCATGCGGAGGATGTATGATTGCAGACGGCTCTGCTGCATGTTGGATGTTGCTGCCGTGCTGTTGCTGTTGTTGCTGTTGCTGTTGCCATCGCAGGAGTTGGATGACAATCCATGTCGCTGTCGACGACTGTCGGCGACATCGACGACGAGTGATCCACATCCACTTGCAATCGGCGCAATCAATACTTTGTTAGTTTTGAGCAACATGTTGCTGCGGTGCAGCAACTGCCGATGCTGCTGCTGCTGCTGCTGTTGTAGCTGGCGATGTTTGGTATGCAAAAAGGCAACTTTTGTTATCTTCATGACAATCATTGGCCCGGCTCATCCGTGTGCCACAATTGCTCGTTCGCTTTTTGCGCTTGATTGTCTTCTGTCTGCTGTCTCTTCCCCTTCATGTTGCTGCTGCGATGTTTCTGCTGTTGCTGCTGCTGCTGCGATGTTGCTGCTGCTGCGGCGGATGATGATGATGATGGGGAAAGAAATGGCGGCTGATATGGCCGCTCCACCGATTCCCAATCCGATTGCGATGCCGATGATGATTATTGGAGTTCAATATTTGCCTTATGGCCATTTCGCAACCGGCTCCTCCGTTTTTGTCGTTCGTCGATGGTTTTTTCTGCTTCGGCCGCTGCCGCTGCCAGTTGTCAGTTGCATTCACATCAAATTAAATTGTATTTTGCAAAATAAATGAAATTAAAAGGAATGACAACGGCAGCAGCGACAAGTGGAGCGCAGCCGGAAAAGGCCAAGGAGCTGGAAGAAGCCAAGAAACATGGAGCAGGAGTCGCAGAACGAGATGGAGTGCAGCCAACTGCGACTTGGCTGCAGGTTCATATGCAATTTATGTTCCTTTCATTGTTTTTTTTCTCTGGCCATCCGCCTGTCCGCTCATCCATCTCCAGCGTCCCTTTCCGCAGTTGGGAGATCTCCTTTTGCGGCGGGAAAACTTCTGGAGCTGACCATGTTCCACCCCATGGTTTTTCTCCTGGTCAGAGGCATCGATTGAGTTGTTAGAAATAGTGCACTTGCTAAGTTTTCCTCTTTTTTCTGGGTTCTTATAGGTGCACTATAAGGCTCAAATAGCTTTTGAAAGGCCCAACACCAACAAAATACAACATATTTTTTCAAAAAATAAACAAAAATAATTAATGAAATGAGTTTAAAACATAGTTTTATATTCCTGTACTTATAGGTAATTCCCTAACTTTTTTGTATTTTTGTTGTTTAAACTTTAATCTTTAAATCAAGAGAAAACGCTATAGTCGAAAGATCAGAACTTTTGAAAGGCCAAACACCAACAAAATACAACATATTTTTTTAGGAAATAAACCAAATTATTAAATGAAATGAGTTTTAAACATAGTTTTATATTCCTGGATTTAAAGGTAATTCCCTAATTTTTTGGTATTTTTGGTTATTTCAATCTTTAAATCAAGAGTAAACGCTATAGTCGAAAGATCAGATACTATCAGATACCTGTTACTTAAACGTAAAATCAGTTGGACTAAAAACATGGATCTAGTAAGCTATGATTAAAACTTTGAATCGAGACATTTATGTAGCAGGCAAAACAGTACTCAACGATCAGTCGTAAATTTCATCTGGAGCTCTCAGGTCGGGCCGCACAGGACTGAGAATCTTTTTAAACAAATTTACTATCCAAATTCTGAGTTTCCTCTTAAAATTTTTTGTTTTCCCTTTTCGGTTAAATTTAGGTAAGTGTGCTGACGTATTATTTGTAAAGTTATTCTGTACCAAAAACTTCATTTATAGTATTCTCAAAACTATGTGCGGCGGCTTTGGGTGCGGTCCTTATGGCTACGGACCTTCGGGCCCCTGTGGTCCCTGGTGCGGACCTTGGTGTGGCCCTTGCGCCTTGTCTCTGGGACCCTGTAGCTACTCTTGCTGTGGTGGACCCAAAGGATGTGGGCCGAGCGGGCCCGCCTGTTGGCCATACGGCCTGTACACCTGCTAGGCTTCAGAAGGATTTAAGGATCTTCTGGTCTATTCCCCCGTGTAACCGTTAATTCCGTCGAGTGCTCTCTTCAAGGGCCAAAATAAATCTCAAAAGTACCACCTTTCTGTAAATGCGGATAAAGAGCACAGCAGTTCAATAAAAATGGGGCTCGACATGGCGATCGATTAAAAACAAATCTTTTTGAATTCTTTGGCTGTGAGACGCTATAACGATCGCGTATCCAGAGTTTTCTTAGTTTATTGGAACTGTTTTTGCGACGCCTGCACTGCAAGCTATATCACGGGAAAGTCTCGTAGTTAATGGTGTAATTAAGATCATTTTAATATTTTAAGGTTTGTTTGGCTCAAAGATAAGCCCATCAAGCCTGTGCACAAATGTAAACTATTTCACAATAAACAATATTAAAGTTTTCCTTCCTGCATATAAAACGGTCTTAGCGTCATTTCAAAACTTTTCAAAAGTGTAATTAGGAACAGGACCGAAAATATAAAAAATAACTTGGCGGTCTTTGAGAATTTAATTATTACTCTGCTAGGCGGATGCAGTTTTAACCGTGTACACTGAACATTGTATCTGAAATGTAATCTCAAAAAAATAGTCAATAACAGTACCCTAAATAAACTATAATTAAAACAAAGCAAGAAATAACGTTTTAGTGGAGTGCCTGGACCTTCAGATAACCGTTACTCAACAATATTGTAAAGCGACACCTACCAGCGATTTCAATATATGGTAATGGGCTATGGGCGTTTGTGGGCTATATTTTTTAGGTCAATCGATACCTATTACAAACCTTTCCCCGACTACAATATACTTTTTATGTTTGCGTCTCAACAACTTTTCAAAATAAATCTAGTCAGTTGGCAAAAATAAACCAAGTGGCATAAAGCCTTAAGGGAAAAACAAATTGTCTTCGAATTGATTTTTGATCCAACTATAAATTTGTATACACCTCAGTACACATTAATTTAATTTAAATGTAAGTTTTTGGTAAATATTAGTTGTTCAATTATACTAAATATTTGTCACAAGGTACTACTTCGCTTGGAGAATTATGGCTGATATTTTAAAAATCGACTGCATTTAATTAATATTTAGCCCGCTGCGATTGCGAATCTCCTCGGCAATAAACAGAACCCAGCACTACACATTAACATAGATATACACTCGTCCGTACATCCGTGTCCCCATCGATATCAATGTTTTCCTGCCGGCCGCCAAGGCCACGCAAGTATCGATAACGCGGCTGCTCCGATCGGACAACATGCGAATATGTTTCGCTTATTGCACGCTGCACGTGACCGTGTCCCTGCCCCTCAGCCTTCAACCCCCCTGCCCCTCCACCTGAGAAGGCCAAAACTAGTTGCTGCAGTTGCAGTTGCAACTGGCAAATGCATTTTGTTGCACTCGCCGGCAGTTGGCTTTAAGCGGAAGCGATAACGTCTAACAAATTAAGCCATGTCCCGCAAAAGAAGAAGCGGCGGCACGAGAGGACTTTATTAGTTGAACTTGCCAGGATGCTGAGTGGGCGGGGCAGTGGGCAGGGGCTGGCTGAGATGCGTCCCGGGAGAGTTGAGAGGTCGAAATTCAACTTGTAAATAAATAAAAGCTAAGCCGCCATAAAACCCGATTCCGATATCATATTCCAATCAGTCCGGCACATTAAGGTAAGTGGCGAGGGACGGGGGATGGACTGGCTATTGCACTTAGAAAAATATTTTGAAATTAAAGAATAATTGGGTTACATATAATCAATGTTACAGAAATATTAAATTCGTATTTCTTTGGTTTCTTGTAAAATATAAACCTTTAAATTTTGGACTTTTCAACTTACTTTTTAAATCTTTTCCTACCACTTATGAGTAAAAAATGTGAGTGAAATGCAATTTAATTCTATATTTTACGATTTTTTAGTACGGATTAGTACCGGATTAAGCTGTTTTCAGAAATATTATTCGTCTTTATAAATATTTAACTGGTCGCATTTCACAAGATGTGTTTTTCTGAGTGTCCATGACTTCTTCTTTTGCTCTTTTGGGCGAATCAATATCCGCTGACCGGCAAATAATTTTGGCAAATATTACAACAATATTTCGGGCTTCTGACCGTTGGGGAATAACCTCTTGGGGGAGGCGAAATGTTCGATTTTTGATCAGCAGGCTGGAGAGGGTGCGGTTTTATGACATTGCCTGACAAGTTTATGCCACCAAAGTTGCATATGCAACCACCCAGCTGGGTCGTAAAGCCAACTGGCAAGGCCGAGAGCCCGAAAGGGCGGCATTCACTTAATGGCAATAATAAAGTGGCACAGGCATTCAACACTTTGTCAGTGGCTTTCGCGCTGTCTGGCCGCATTTATCATGCCACTCGAGCTCCAGACTATTTTGACAAGTTATCAAAATGAAATGCAGCCAACAAGTTGCCTGTGTCAGAAGACCGAAGACAGCCAGACCGACAGACTCCCCTTTTTGGCCCTGTCATAATCCTCACGGGGAAGGGGAGGGCGGAGTGAAAGAGCCCTCGACAGACGACAAGTGTATTTATGTTATGATTTGAATACCGCTAATGACAGCCAGACTCGGCAGCATCTTTCGGGTGGCACTGCAGACACATAGACAGCTGGAGGTAGGGGGATTCCCATACCCATTACAGTCCCGGAATCCACATTTTCAGCGCCCCCATCAATCCGACTGCCTTGTAGGTATTTTCACACCTTAACGCTTCGAAATTAGAATCGATCTGGGAATGCTTTTCGCCGTGAGCTGCAATTGAACATCATCATTATGATGCCCATAACGTTTCTTATAAAGATACCACTCCTCCTCTTGGCTCTGTGCGTGTGGCATCGTTTCCTTCAAATGCAAATGATGCCACCGCCTCATCCGTTTTATCTGGAACTGGAACTCGAACTCCATTGGTGGGGTGGGGGCCTGAGTTACGATTACGATGCCGCGATAATATCAGGCTTTATAAATTTATTAGGGCCAGCTATGTGCATCCACAGAGAGGCCGATATATATTTAGCCAGGGGGATAGATAGACGCACAAGAGGCCACTCATATCATGTGTTACGCTCACTCGGATGATAGAAAAATTATTTACAGATCGGGAAGATTCTTGTGTGATAATGCTGGTAAGTACTCGATTTATATATATATTGATTTGCATTGCAAGTATATACAAAACTCCTCTGTAGAACCCGCACTGGAGCATCCCGCAATCGGCGACTCCATCTTGAGGAGAACTCAACCAGTCACCGATCTTCAACTCAGAACAACAACAGAAACTTCAAAAACAATGACAACGGCAACAGAGAGATCGGGGCACAAGAGCAACTCGCAACATCAACAACTGCGGCAGCAACATGGCAAAAGGCAGAGCAAAAGCCGCCGAATGCCTGGCAAGGACAACATGAATAATCCATTTTTCGAAACACTTGTCCAGGGCAGCAGCCGCGTTCTCCTCGCCTGCCCCGATCATAGATATAGGGACGGGTTCCGACCCTCCCGCCATCGCCATCTCCATCGTAGGTGTTGTCTAGATCTTGGCCACGCATGTGAGCGGCAGCAGGAGCAGGAGCAGGAGCCAAGGCAAGTCAAGGAGTCAAGGCTGGCAGCGACACCAGCGCCGAGATTAAAGATTCCTCCATAAACAAACAAGCGAAATAATTGAGGCAAAATTGAAGCAAACTACTCGGGGGAGGAGGCTGCAGTGCCCGCGAAGGCTGGGACCTGGAAACCAGTTCGGATTCGCGGTGCAACAATTAGCACGGAATTTGTGGGTGCCATAAAACGCGCTACACGATGGCCGCTTGTTCTCTGGAGACGAGAAACCATTCCCATTTCCATTTTCATATCAATAAAACTGCAGTGTCGATTGCCGTGACTTTTCCGGGGACTAACGGTGGTTCCGCCGCACAACTATCAACTTTCCTTTCGAGGCGTCCAATTAGGCACAGTCATACTTATAGGCTGCAAAAGTAGTCAGAGCTTAAAGTAGATCAGTAAAATATTTTTTTTTTTTTAAATATTAGTGATTTGCAGTTTTGTCAAAAAAAAACCTGAATATCAAAGAATATCTTAATAGCTAATATTAATTTAACAAACTGAATGGGATAAAAATTAAGGTTCAGATTTTCAAGGATTAATTTAATTTAGTGTTATATACGAACGACTATACTTTCATAGTAATAAGAGATTTCACAGAGAGAATTTTGACGTTCTCATCTGATTTGAAAATGTTCTCATAAATAGAACGAAATTTTGATATTATTTATGACATTATACATACATCATATATATTCATTTAAATTGTTTATCTCATGAACTAAGCTTTTGGTCCAGTCATAAGTGTACACATATCAAAAAGTTGTGAAATAAACTCAATTTAACTTTTCTCCTCTCACCATTTGGTTCTGGCATTGAAAACATTAAAACCACAAAGTGCTTAAGAACGAATGTTCTTAACTCAAGAACAATGTATTTGATTATTTCTCTCTGTGTTTATAAAAAATAAAAAAAAGCCTGAGAGGAAATACTAAAGCACTAAATAAATATACATAAAATTTGAAAGTGTTATTTCTTGATGTTATATTTTCCACATCAATTTATCTATGATATCGATGTGGGACCCACGGACTCTCAGGACTCGTTTAACTGGCGCCCAATTAGACACACTTCAAAGTGCGATACGGTATGCCAATCTCGCTCTCTCGGTGGCCATCAAACGAAAAATCATAATTCGCCGGGAAATATTTAAGTGTGCATATATTTCTCCCTCGGAGTTGGGGCCGGGTTATTATTCATAGACCGTTTTCGGACGACGCGTTGCATGCAGACAGAGTTAATTACGCGCACAGATCAAACAAATTGCACGCAAAATAAATATAATGCAGCCCGAAGATGGAACCCGGGAGCAGATCTAGAAATGAAATGAGGTTATTAAGATGCCCGACGGCTGCCAAGCGGCGGGCGAATTATGATCATGAAAATTATGTCTGCGCACCGGCGTGATCTTGAATTTAGCCGGGGATCCCGGCCAGACATGGCACAATTTCTCATCGCCCGTTTCGATGCAGGAGGCCGGTTTCGTTAGCCACCACCTTCTGCTTCGCGGCCCGGAGTTAATGGCTCCAGCCGTGGGGCTGTTAATAGTCCCCGATCTTCGCCATCCCCATCCCCATCCCCCTAATTTTTCCCATTCGAGACACTTTACGGCCGCATATGAAATATGTGCGCCCATGAAATGAGCTAAATTTCTCGGGAAAAGTGCAACATTGTGGAAAATGGAATTGCCAACAAAGCAACATTCGAGCTGCAATGCCAAAACAGAGGGTTGCAATGTTTGAAGGTGTTTATGTGCAAGTTGATGGCTGGAATTCGCAGACACTGCCTGATGGAAATGGCTAACATGCCCTCTAGAGAAACTTTAGCCAGAAGAAGCTGAGGCAAATTTATTAATTATTCTCAATTAATAACATAAATGAGTCGTACTCAAACTCTAATAAATCTGGCGGAGATTTTTTCGGTCTTTAAAATTGTATCGCAATTTTCCTATAAATCTTTCTTTTTGCTAAGATATACAACATTTTCATTATACGCCGAGTCACTGATACTTAGAAATTGTATAAAGACCTTGGTTGCTTTCATTGTAGTTCTTTTGATGCTTTGTTAGCTACAACAGTGCAACAATAAGTTTTTACTTAAATGACGAATTCTTATAATATTATATCTTTTGAAATTATGTGCAATGTCTTAGTAAGGAAGCAGTAATACCGCATTTCACGATTAATCACTTTGATATTTAAATCTTCGCCCAATTGATGTCCCCCCCTCAGTCAATTATTTCATGGGGTATTTATTTCTCGCCCTGTGCCCCACTACTGTCCCACTTTCCCGGGAACTTAGGAACCCGGTCCGAGTGCATCGGGTCGTGTCTATTGTTTTGGCAGACAACGCCTGTCATATTTGGCGAACATTTATAATTCGCGGCGACATCAAGTTGTTGCGGTCTAGAAATTATTATTTGTTGCATTGTCGTCGCGGGAAGAGACAAGGGAATAATTAAAAGTTCTGTGACTACGCGAACTGCGAGACACAAAGACCACTTCGACCAAAATTCGTCTGGGCAAATGAATCAAAAAGAAAACATCTGTTGGGAGTGGAAAGTGTCCCAAGGCGAGGGCGTCATCCCGAAGGAACTGGGAATGGGATGATGAATGGGCTGCGCGTGGCATGTGGCACGATCGAAGGAGGCGCACTTACCAAAGCTGCCAATTTGCATGAATTTATTGAATCCATCGAAAATGCGATCCTCGATCCCCATATCCTCGATGCCAAGCGGAATGCTTCCCACTTCCCGGAAAAGAAACGTCACAACATTTTTTCTTTGCAATTTCGCACGCCGGCTTTATTTTTGATCATTCTTGTCGCGATTTTTTTCGGTTTTTCGATTTCAATTTTTTATATGCAACTACCACAGTTTACATTACGTGTATTTATCGGTATATGTATTTAAATATATCTAGGTATAGCCATAAAATTAGTTAAGTTCTGACCTCGCAGCCTGCCTGATCCGGTTGAAGAGACTCCTCCAGCCAAGTTCGTTCCTCGATCCGCTATTTTTACAACTTACCGGCTAAACTTAATGCATTTAAATGCCTTGAAGATCGCTATCAATTAACCGTACTATATATATGTATAGACACAAAGGATATATTCGTATATATGTGTAGGGGGGTGTTTGAGTTTGTGTCGGTGCTAGTTGAAGCTTAGCGTAGGGTAATGCTCAAGATATGTACTCCACAAAAACCATGTGTGTTCCAAGACTAAGATCTCATCATCGGCTCCTCTCAGTTACTTCTCCGCATCTCTGGACTCCGACTCCTCGTTGTCCCCTCCGTGGGCCTCCGCCTCTGCTTCCTGCTGATCCTCCTGCTCGCTGAAGCCGCCCATGGCCTCGTTTTGATTGTTCTCCACCTTGATGCGACTCAGTGGATGCCATATGTTACCGGACCCCTCTTCCTCCCGCAGGGAAGGACTCTGAGCCGGCTCTGGTGTGGGTGACTTGCTGCTGCTCCTCCGCTCCAGGCCATACGGATGCTGGGCCAGGAAGCCCGGAAAGCCCAGGAGTCCGGGCGGATATGGATACTTCCCGCCGTTGGCGAAGGGCGGAGGGGGTATGTTGGGAAAGGCGCCGGGACTCAGTTCACCAGGCTGAGAAATATTCAGAGATGGTGAAGAAAAAAGTCACCAGTTAGAGAGATTACCATATCCAGATAATATAATATCCCAGATAATTAAACTTATAATCCGGGTGCATATCATAAGGCCCAGTGACTTATAACATGTAGTTTTTATAGACATCACCAACACATTGAAATTATAATACCTTGGAATTATGGCTAGAATATTGTTATTATGAAAACAGAAAAAAGCTGTGAGGAGTTGGCATAACAAACATTAATTCTTTTATCGGTATTGGTAATAATTATGAATGCACATTACAAGTTTTTAGAATATTTGGAGCGTTATGACACTTCTAAAAACTGTCAGAAGAATCGCGGCCAAGATGACACTTTTTAGATGGGCTTTATGACACTTTTAAAAATGCCAAAAAGCTGACGTTATGACCCTGGGCGTTATAACATGCACCTTTATAATCAATCTTGCTAAAGGAGTTAAATGATGCTATAAATCCCCCAAGAAATCCCAATTTCCTTACCTTTGGCGGCAATCCGTTAAAAAAGGGCGGCAGGTAGGGAAAGAAGAGCTCCGGTCTTCGCTGCATGAACTCCTGTTCGGCACTCGATCCTGGGTGACCTTGTCCCGAGTTTGGACCAGGACGCATGGGTAGCTCCAAGGACATGCGACGACCTCGCCGCGAAGTCGGATTCGTCCACATGTGAGTGCCCATATGCACCTGAAAGTGGGTTAGATCCAAGGCAACTCAGGTAAGTAAAAAGCTGGAAAGATAATTCTCCCCTGCGAGTAAGTACCTTAAGATTCCCCTTGGTGGTGAAGGCCTTCTGGCACACATTGCACTGGAAGGGCTTGTCGCCCGTGTGGGTGCGCATGTGGATCTGGAGAGCGGAACTCGAGCTGAAGTTCCTGCGGCAGACGTGGCAGAAGTGCTTGTTGTTCACCGGGGGATCCAAACTAGAGGTCGGAGGTCCTGCGGACATCAAAGCCTGCTGAAAGTCGAGGGGACTGGCGGGAAAGCGATGGGCATCTAATGGGAAGACACACTTAGGATTCGGGAAAGAAGCTTACGAGGTACTAGGGAATCACTTACGGAGCTGCATCTTCATCAGGGACTGCTCTGCATCACCGGATTCCTGGGGATAGTTCGAGCCAGCTCCATTGCCAGATCCTTCTCCAGCCGAAGCACCCTCCTCCACCATCAACTGCTCCTGGTCGGGATCTTCCTTGATGGGCGTCGCCGGGGGATTCTCAGAGGGAAAGGGCAGGGCGGATGACTCAAGCAACTTGTCACCCGATGACGACGACGGCGGCTTCTTTGCAAACAGATTTGGATTGAGAGTGAGCTGAAATGCGATGAGATACAAAGTTACAGGGCGAGATACTTTCGCGACGGGCGCTAATTTCTGCGCATTTTCAGTTAAATGTGCCGTTAATCCCGCTGCTGCAGACTCGCGCCTCTTAATAATCTTATTTTCGCGAGCCGGGAGAGAGCCAAAAACATAATTTACAATTTTTCTATGCCGCGTGTATCGCGTGTAATAATGCCAACTAATTATCTCGAGCAGACGATGCCGCCGGGTCTCATATTTTTATGGCAAAACAATTGTTCGCCGAAAGGGGGATACTGGGCGAGGGGTTGGGGATAGAGCACAAACTACGTGGTGGATGGTGTCCCCAGCAGACGCGACGAACAAAAGATTAAATAATTTTGCATAAAGCGTAGCATAATTTATTTGCATTGAATGCATCGCACAAACCGTCACCGATCCGGCACAGGCTCCTCTATATCTCTACAATACCCTGCAGCCCCTTATCACCCCGATAGGTCCCCCGAAATATCGCCCCAATCCAGAGCGAAAACATACCAGACGGAGTCGTAAATTTCGCATCATCATAATGCATTCTCGTAATTACTTAAGATTTTTGAATCATTTAGAAATTTCAAGCCCAAAAGATGATGCCGATCCCCAGGCCCACCTCCTATCTGCATCTCCCACTCCTCCCAGACCATACCATCCCCATCCCCATCCGATCCGATGTTCGTCTGCTCTAGATCATCAACAATGTGCTAAGCGAGCAAAACGGAACGTGGCCGGTCCTCAACCAAAGAAGTACAAATGCTGTCTGTCGCTCCACTGGCGTTGGGGAAAAGGGGGAAAGGGGATCGCAGCAGCGACTTGCTGATTACCAACTGAAAATGTTATGACATTTACACTGCACTCGCATTGCACCCAAAATAAAGAAGGCGAAGGGAGCGGATCTAGGAAGTTAGGGGATAACAAAAAAAATATTTAATAAATCTCTAACATATCTAAAAAGTAACTCTTTACAAGACGAAGATAATAAAAACTTTTTATCTTCAAATACATTTACACTGCACTTGCATTGAAAGCAAAATAAAGAAGGCCAGGGGTCTAAAAATTGATCAGTTGCAAAAGAATAACCTAAAGAACTCTAAAAAAGAAAAGGTTAATACGAGTATACAACTTTTACAGAATCATAAAAAAAAAGTTAAGAACAATATTACCCAATATAAACTCGCATTTAAGTGACTAAAGAACTAGATACTCATTTTAAAAAATATTTGCTTATAAATTAATTTTAATAACAAACTAAATTATACCGTAAAATTCCCGCCACTAGTTAATAACCGCCCCTCAAATTCCGCTCCTGTGCCGAGACATTCGCTTTCAATTTTGGAAATACTCCAAGAATGTAAGCCATAATGAACGATGTCATTAGTCATAGAGCGACAATGCCGCACTGCGTGCCCCGGCCAGAAATAAATATTAATACTCGCATTTGTACTTAAATTATGGGCAGCCACATCAGAACCACTCCATCTGAGAATCCGAGCAGCGAACGCACTTTAATAAATAATTGGCATTGTTGGGCGATGTAATCCGGGCACTTAAAGCTCTCTCCTCTGCAGATGAACTTGGGAGCCCGGGAGCCTGGGGTCTGGGTCTGGGCTTCCATTTGCAGCCCCAACTTGGCCGGGTGGAGGCCGCAAAGCGGAACGCCAACAATTAAGGCAAAGCTATGCAAGTTGGCCACAATTTCTTCATAATAAGGCCCAGCCAGTGACGAGGCGAACACGCCGGGCAATTAATAATGTGCTCATAATTTGTATGGTCGCGGCCAAAACGGGCTGTGCTCCATCCATATTTGGCCAAATCAAGCCAACCCCAGGAGCGGGCTGAACCCGTGAACATTTTAATTAATCATGACCAAGGCAGGCCCGAAGAATCGATTCGAACTCTCTATCGCCGCCAGGTGGCACTAGTTCTCAAAGCGAGAGTTGAGGTGGGATTAGGCTGGCTGGATGTGATGTAAGTGCTCCCATATTGGGGCAGGGAATGCTGCTCAATGGTCAGCTATGGAAGTGATTAGTGGATTGCATTGGAAAGGGAAAACTGAATGCGGAATATAGGAAAAGCTTGAGTGTGCAACAACGCGAATTCTTCAGCATTTTTGCTATTTTTAATAATTTAGCGGTCTTAATTAACTTTTTAATGAGATAAAAACGGGAATTCTTCAGGATTTATCAAGGGTTTAGTTTTTGTAATGCTCAAAATACATTTCTCAATATTGGGGCAGGGCATGCTGCTCAATGGTTAACTATGGAAGAGATTAGTGGATTGCATTGGAAAGGGAAAACTGAATGCGGACCATAAGAAAAGCTTGAGTGTGCAACAACGCGAATTCTTCAGCATTTTTGCTATTTTTAATAATTTAGCGGTATTAATAAACTTTTCAATGAGATAAGAACGCGAATTCTTCAGGATTTATCAAGGGTTTAATATTTGTAATGCCCAAAATACATTTCTGTTTGTTGGGTTAGGGCATCCTGCTCAATGGTTAACTATGGAAGTGATTAGTGGATTGCATTGGAAAGGGAAAACTGAATGCGGAATACAGGAAAAGCTTGAGTGTGCAACAACGCGAATTCTTCAGCATTTTTGCTATTTTTAATAATTTAATAATAAACTATTCAATGAGATCAGAACACGAATTCTTCAGGACTTATCAAGGGTTTGTTTAATGCCCAAGTTACATTTTTCAATAAAATATGAACGCGAATTCTTCAGGACTTATCAAGGATTAAACGCTTAACACTTACCTTGGCACCGTACGGCGATCCAGCTTCACTGCTGTGGGGGCGGAGGGCGTGGCCCGTCGCCGGTTCTTTGGCATGTTCGCTCTGCAGATGGCTCTCCAGGGCGGCCAGGCTGGGCAGCATCTTGAAGCAGAGATTGCACACATTGGGGGGCGGGTGCAGACCTGCGGATGGGGGCGGGATGCAGACAAAGAGTTACTCGCGAGGTCAGTGGGGGACACATAATTCCCGCCACGTGCTGCCGAATGTCGCTCGCCGCGATCGCAGATATAATAAATATCCATCCGCGTAAAAGGTTGTGACATAATGAGGCGACAGATCGCTGCTCGATCGCTTGCGCCTCTGCGCCTCGATTCGGGAATGCGCCAATGTTTATAAATAAATTGCGGAATTTGGCATAGGCATATCAGACATGGATTGGGATGGAGCTGGGTGGAGTGGTGCGAAGTGCTCTGCGGATGCTTTGTCTCGGTCCAATTGAGTTATGTCGCGCCCAGATCGCAGATTTATCGCACTTCCACTCCGCGTTGCTTGGCAAACGCTGACGGGGTCAAAGGTGGCAGACAAAGAGGCTTTGTCATCTCGCATCCGAAAGCGGACGGAGAAGAAAGTTAATGTCAAGTGTGGCGACGCACAGATACGCAGTTTGCCGGATTTATTTATATATCTTTGGACTTGACTATATAGAACTATAAGGCAATTGGATTGAATGGGGCGACCATGAAGTTTTCGGTTTAATTGCCAGAATATATAATGGAAGCTCTTTTGCTCTTAATGAGAAAATCAAATCATACAGTAGACTATAAATATATTAAAATGGGCAAAGGGTTACTTTCGAGCAGAAAAAGAAATATAGAAATATGTTCTAAGAACTATTAATAACATTTTTTCTAATGAAAAAAATACTTTTTGTTATTGAAATACCCCCAAAATATGCAGCAGACTGTCTTAAAACTGATCTTAAATAAAGATAAGTATAAGGACAATGATTAACTTACCCATAAATCCAAGTGGACCGAAGGGCAGCAGGGGAAATTTGGCGTGAGCGTGACCTAGAGCGTGCATTTCTTCGCGGGCAGCGGCCATGAGCAGGAGATTTGGGGGCATGGGCATTCCGAGCATGGGAAGACCACCACCGCCCGATCCTCCGCCAACAGCTCCATTCGCTAGCCCAGATCCGAAGATGCGTCCGGTGGCTGAAGAGGGCGAGGAGAGATCCATGGCGGGCATCTCCCCACTCTCGCTGCGTCCTCCGGCCAGATCGGGATTGGAATGAGATCTCTCATCGGAGCCATCTTGGGGAACCCTTCGCTCCCGTTCCCTTTCCCTTTCCCGTTCCCTCTCCTTCTCCCTATCCCTCTCCCTTTCCAGGGGATGGGGCGTGGCTGTGGCTGCACTCGAGTTGTCCCTGGAGTCATCAGTGCTGTCCATGGTCATGAACTCATCGAAGTCACCGCCTTGCGAGGACTCAGACCTCTGACCCGAGTGGTCAGAAATGGTGGTGGAGAAGTCCAAGGTGTCCGAGGTGCCCAGCGACTTGTTGGAGTTCTGATCCTCGATGCCCAGCCGTTCAGCCTCGCCGGGATTTGTTGGAGGAACTCCCTGGCCACCGCTGCCATCGTCCATGGTGTGGATGCGAATGTGCTGCTGCAGGATAATGCCGTTGGAGAACTTCTGGTGGCACACAGGACACTTGAACTGGCTCCTCATCGGTGGCTTGATCTTGTGTATGCTCATGTGGGCCTTCAGGTTTCCTTTGGTGGCGAAGGCCCTGCCGCAGATCTTGCAGCGAAAGGGACGCTCGCCAGTGTGGGTGCGAATGTGCATCTGCAGGGAACTGCGGCAGGACATGACCTTCTGGCAGAAGATGCACTGGTTCGGGTCGGTCAGCTTGTTCTCGATGTTGTCCACCAGCTGCTGCAGCTTCGAGGTCTCCGACGTCTTGTCGATCTCGATGAGGTCCTCCCACGACTTGTCGATGATGCGTTCCATTTGGGCGAGCGAGTACTCCGCCGGCTGAGATTCTCGGCTGGAGGAAGAGCGTCTCACCAGCTTGGCTATGTGCAAGTGCTCGGCCAGATCCCGTTCCCTATCCTCCTGAGGAGGACTGCCAGCACTGCTGGTCTGTCGCTTCCGGACAGAACCATTTCGTCGCGAAGGGGTCACCACCGGCTTGGAGACCTCCTTTTCAGGCTTCTCCGGTGGCGGCTGTTGAACCTCTGGCTTGACCTCCTTGGGAGTCTTGACTCGCTCCACGGGAGAGTGGGACTTCTCCTTCTCCTTCACCACTGGCTTGCTGAGATCCTCTGCCTGCTGAACTGGAATCGGAGCCTCCTGCCTGACATCCTCTGGCTCCTCCACCTGCTGCTGAGCCTGCTCCTGACCCGATGGAGCCCCCGGGGGCACAAAAGGCAGGCGAATGGGATACTGATCGGCCTGCGCTTGACCCTGACCCGAGTGCCCCACGTTGGGCGCCACTCCCGGTGGCAGCAGCATGGGTGGAAAGATCTGCGTGTGCCGCTGGTAGTGCACCTTCAGGTTGCCTTTCGTGGTGAACTTACTGCCGCAGACGTTGCAAACGAATGGACGTTCGCCGGTGTGCGACCTCAGATGGATCTGCAGGGCCGAGTAGCTGCCGAAGATCTTCCCGCAGTACTTGCAGCGGTGCTTGAAGATTTCGCCGCGACTCTGAGCCTCCTTGGAGGCGTACTCCGAGTACTCCTCCTGCATCTGGGCGGCGTGCAGGCTCTGGGAAGCGGAGTCCAGGACCTCCTCCGTTCGCCGCTGCAGCATCTCCAGGCAGTTGGGCTCGTTGGCGGCTGGGGGTTCGTGGTTGGTGATGATGCTCGAGGCCAGGCTCGAGCTGATGTCGCACATCATGGGTTGGTAGCCCTCCGGGTCCGCCTTTCTCTCCTCAGTCGCCCTCTTGTCAGTCTTTGAACTCTCCTCCCGTCGCGGCTCCACCTCCTGATCCTGCTCCAGCTCCTGATCCTGCTCCTCTTCCTCCTCCTTCAGGCCATTGGCTGGATGCTTCTTGGGCTCCAGCTCGTCCTCCTCCTCGTCGCTCTGGGATTGCCTGCCCAGGGCGACTGCCTCGGCCCTTTTCAATTGACTTTGCAGGTGCTGAATGAGCTGCAGCTGCATCAGATGCTGCCGCTGCACATTGAAGATGGTGGACTGCACCATGGCCAGGTCGGCGGACTGGTGGTTACCGGCCATCGCCGAGGCCGCGAACTGGGCCACCGCCACTTTGGTATGTTGTAGGGCCTCCAGCGAGACGTGACCACTGCCTGGCAGGGACTCCCGACCGCTGGACGAGATCAGCGAGAGGTCCAGGGCCTCGTTGCTGTTCTCCAGATCCCCCTGATCCTCGCCGTGCTCCTCGGCCACTTCCCTCTCCGTATCGGATTCCGGAACCGCTTCCGTTTCCATTTGCGGCTCGGTGCCATTGTTGTTGCTATCCGCATCCAGTTCCTTGGCCAGCAGGGCGTCCCTATCCCTGTCCCTCTCCCGATCACGATCCCTGTCCCTTTCCCGCTCCCCGCTGCCGCTCCTGGTGCCGCCAGTCCCACGGTAATTGATGCGGTTGCGAAATATTGAACACATTATCCTCTCGATCGGAAGCGCTCACCTCCTGATCCCAATTGCCGCTGAAGTCTGCTCATGGACTGCACCCTGGCAACGAAAGGGGAGAAGATATAGGGAAAATCTTGTGAGAAACGCACATTTTCCGATTTTCCCGCCAGCAACACTGGTCAGCAAATACAAATGTTTGTGATTTTCGGTTGGAGAAAAATCAAAAAAAGATAAATAAATTATTTTTTAACAAGTATTTATTAAATAGAATGTGGCTTGGATAATATAGTTGAGATACAACTACAAAAGTAAGATATACAATATTTTTAATAACTATATAATTTGAGACGCATTCCTTTACAAATGTTTCCAGGGAAAATTACCCACTTCGAAATCAAGTTGCGCAGTGTTATTTAGCAAGATATTATATATGCATATGGACGGATCCGTCACGTAAGGGGTGCCCGGTCAGGCTTTATGATAAATTTTTGAATATATGAATAGCGGCGTGTCGCAATTTTAGACGTTGAATAAATGAACCGGGCGCATATGGTTAGTCGCGTATAACTTAATAGCAGCCTGCGATCTGGACTCGCGGCTGGAGCGAGAATTTGGATATTACGGAGTTGGCGTGGACTCTTGACCGGGTTGGAGGAACCCAAAAGAGTTTTGCATGAGCCATTCGCGTAAGAGTGGGTAATTTATTGATTTATTACACGGAATCACTCAGCATAACTTTCAGCCTACCCAGATGATTGAGTTTGTGTGTCGAATCTGTCGAATTATTCCACCTAATTTACCTGACGCCGGCAGATATCGGCTACCGAGATATAACCATGGTAAAAATAATCCGTTCAGCGACATCAAAAGAGGGTCATGATATACTGGAAAGTCTCAAGCCGAATGTTTTATCTAGAATATATACCTTATAAATATACACCTTACCTCGGAACATGGCAGAAGGATACTCTTGATAACTTTAATACATTGATTTACGTAGATTTAATGATTCTTTTGAATTTTGTAATCTCATTTTGAAACTGGGGAAGTCCAGAGCTAGCCGGGTATTGGATTGCCGCCTGATAAAGAATCGTTTTCCTGCGAGGAGGATGCCACAGCGAACTCCCAAATACAACCAGTTATTCATGAACCTTCCGGTGGTCGGCATTATGGAACGAACTTGACTATGAATTTGTACACATTTAATCGGACATCAGACGGTATATGAATGGCCAACTTGGGGGAGTTTCCGACGAGGGTTGCCCAATTCCAACTAAAGTGTTCGATGTACGCGCCGCATAAATTTCGGAGCAAATCGATTTCAACATAATTCCACACCGTTTCTGAGTTACACTTTCAACAGGGCCACAAATTCTCGATTTCCCTGATTCTCCAAAGCCCCGAAGACCAGAAAATAAGGCTTGCACGGGTATCCCATCCGCATTACGGCCGATTGCTTTATGATTATTTCCCGGCAATTAACAGAATTTATTGGCGAAGGTAAACACTCGCCAGATACAGATACAGATGAAGATACAGCTACAATAGGGTCCGTACTCGGATGCGTGGCTATATCGATTCGACGCACTCGAAATCATCGGCGCACACACATCGACTCCACTATTTCTATCAATGCCGATGGGCTCATCGGAAATCAATTTGTTTAATGCAGGGGCGGTGGGGATTTTAGGGGGTTAAGACGAGGTGGAGTTGGCCCCCAAAGAACCAAAGTCTGGGCCTGGGCGAAAGTGTTAACCGAAACTAAAGTGAGCCGGGCCACAACTTATTCCACTTGAGCTGATTTCTTGAACGATTTACGCACAGCCAAAAACATAAAACTTCCGCAATTGCCTCGGCAACCTCTATTGGAGCTTTAAGAAGTTGCACGAGTCTGCGGTGGGATTCCATCAAAAAAGTTTCAAGCCTTCATTTCCTTTGTCACTCCACGGAAAAGCCCAGGGAAAAGTGGAATAGCCAAAGTTTCCTGTCAGCAGGTGGTCCCAGCCTCTCGAAAGGAACTCTAAATCTTTCGGATTTCTCGGGCCCGGTCTTTCTTGTAAAGTCCGGAATCAACACGGCGTCAATCATTCGTCCAAATCGTGAATTATGGTTGAGTATATATGCTGTTTAACCCCCCGAAACGTCTTCAGCGGATATTGATCAAAATTCATTGCAATTCTCTTGATTGATTGATGGCACAGTACATATATCCGGGGCCAATTGGCTGCTCTGTTTTAGGAGCCATCGAATGAATGAACCCGAATCCAACGTAAACAGACACTTTGGAAGTCTATCGGAGGGGGAGAAAGGGAAACGGAATGCGAGATCTTGATTGAAGTCTGTTGTTTCAACCGTCGATCGAACACGAACGACTGCCAGTCCATCCACGGACATCACTTTATGGGATCGGAGATTTTCGGGGCAGCTAGCGCCAATTCTGACAGTCTGACGGAAGTTACTAAAAATGTATATATATTTATATATTTAGAAGAAATTATCATCCACGAATTATTGGTCCCTTTTCTAGCTTACATGAAACTAAGCTGTACTGGACGCCTTTAAAAATTTATTAAATGGTATTATAACTTATTAACATGTATACATTAGATAGTTAGATATTTATATTATATATAATTTCCCGATGTTTTTGATCAAAAACGTTTACAAAGAGTTAGAGTAAGAATCTATTAGGATACTACGAACTTCTGATACTCTCTGTTAAATAACCCAAACATAATCTAAGACAGGATTCTATGCTCTTAAATTAAAATGATCCTTAAATTCTAAGAAAAATAATGTATTGTTAATGGGAATACAAATGGTTTTATTTACCTCTTCAACAAAAATGAATAACATTCTTCGTTTCTAAGCATACGTATCTAAACATACGTATACGGTATCTTTAAGATATCTCAGCTTTTCAATAAATATGTATTCTAATGTGATAGCTTTAATTTAAAAAACACATTCCGGTATTTCCCACAGAAGCATGATTCATGTGAGCGGATTGTGTGATAAATAGCCACTCCAGTTTCACCTGACACATGCCGGGTTTATAGAAGAACTCCAGCAAGGTGAACCTGAACCCCACGCTTTTTTCCTCCCACTGAATTGACTTTCCAAAAAAGCCAGAGAAAATATGGGAAATAAAAACGGTTGAAGAAGCAGGGCAAAAAAAGTGGGAAATTGTTTGAGGCAAATTTATGAGCTTCGCTTAAGCAAGGCAACTGCGTCTGGTTAACGCTCCCCGATGTGCTCGGTATATAGTAACACATATATATATGTTTGCGGTACAGTGAGAGGTCGGGGGACTTAAGGCCACTTCAGCATTGACCATTTTGCATGAAAGCCTCTCGCTTCCCAAGCGAAAATATGTCCGAGCCACAGGGGCAGCCAATAACAACAACTAACCCGGGGCAATTCAAGTTCCCAGTTCCCAGTCACCAGTTACCAGTTCAGAATTCCCATTTCCAGGGGTCCCCTTACAAAATGTCTGCAAATTTATTAAGCTGAAAAAATTTTATGAGTTGAATTGGTATAATTTTCATATAATTTTTGAGAAAGAAGCGAAATGGAACGCCGCCAGACGGCGGAGACGGTCAATTCAACCAGTTGAGCCCAGCGGGGGGTTAAGCGCCACACACACCTCTGTATTCAAGATGGGTGAGTGTGTGAGTGCGTATCTGTGTGGGGGAATGCAAATGTCTGTGTGTGGAGGGGCAGAAGGGCGGGCAGAAGGGTCTGGAAATGAATGAATGGGCTGGGAAGCAGGCAAGTTGAGATACCCAAACGCATACAGGCACACAGACCACTCACACAGATACTGCACACAGACAGGGGAGTCCGATTAAAAAAGCCTTGTAGATGAATTTGTATTGTTTTGCATTTGCTTTTGGGGCGCTACTTTGTTTTGGCCTCCGCTTTCGCCGCTCGTTTCTTCTGCTTCCTTGCCATTTCGTTTTTGTTTGAGAGGAATAATACGGGGTTGTTGGTGGAGTTGTTAAGCTGCCATTGCAAACAATTAAAATCATAAGAGACGCACATAAATTATTCATGGCTTAATCTAAAGTGGACAATCTATGCAAAGTACCAGGGCACTCACACAGGCGCACATGTGTGTGTGTGTGCACGTTGGACACTTGTTTGTACCCCTGCCACGCCCCTCCCACCGCCCACACGTGAATGGCCATTTTTGATATTTTGCCAGCCCTCGTCTTGCTCTCTTTTCGCTTTAATTACTCATAAACGAAGGAAATAATTGCATTCAAGTAGCCACATTCTGTTTCTACCTTCTTGTTTTGCCAGGTTTTGCTTCCATTTTTGGCAATTAAGAAGGACATCGAAACGGGGCAGATTTGGTTTCCGAATTCTTGAACTTCAGTTGTATTTTTGCAGGAAATGGCAGTTAAACGAAGCAGTTTTCGGGATGTTTTGTTACTTTTTGGTACCTTAAGGTTTTTAGGGAGGTTTAGGAATTTTTAGTATTTCAAAAATTGGGATGCTTCTGGGTATTTTTGCTTTTATCAACATGTTTTACTTTATTTTTAGATAATCTTGATTTTCCTCTTTTGATTTGAGAACTCAATTTAATATTATTTGATACCAAAATGAATACTTTTTAACATTTAAATTAAACATTTAAAAATGAAATCTATTTAATAATATTTTTAGAGAACAGTTTTATTTTTCAAATCAAAATCAAAACTCAAAAATTCAAAAAAATTTGTATAGTTCCACAGAGAAGCAATCAAAAGTTAAAGATATTTTAAAAGGATTTGAACATTAAAAAAAAAACCTCGTTTTATACGAATTACCTTTTACTTAATACTTTAAAAGAATTATTTTAATTTTGAAAATGTTTTGGCACTGTTTTTGCAGCTGAAACGCGGCATTTTACGGCTTCATGTTCTCTGTGACCATATGAACCTCGACTTTAAGTGTATCTAGTTTATTTTGGTGTGTACAATTTAATACACATATAAATTTGTTTTAAGATATCCAACCGAATAGAAAAGTGTAATTTATTTAAAGTACAGCATTTTTGTATTATTCTATTAAGTAATTAAGATCCAACATATATTACTGAGTTATAATTTTGTATGAATTTTTTTAAACTCTTTGTATAATGGGCTCAATCAAAAAGCTTTTATCGTATTGAATCGCATTATTAATTGAGTCTATACATTTTCCAGCTAATTTTAGTGATAATTAGTAATTCCGCCGCAAAACGTGTAGATCCAGAATAAAATCAATTTTAGTAAATCGGTTTCTTTATTAATTCAGTCTCATTTTTTCGTTATTCATTTCCGTAACTTAGCACAAGCTAGCCAAGCCGAATTTTGTTTTGATGAATATGAATTGAATTTGGTTTATTACCCCGACAGAAAACAATAAAAAGGCAACTCGGCTAAATTCGGGCAGGTTCTAACAGTGTTAGAATGGAATCCAACTAATAAACTTGCGCAGCGAAAAAGCCATAAAAATTCAATTTATGCGGCTTATTGAATTAGCGAGCGGAATTAAATTGAAAATTCACAAATGCAGAAATGCATGATATAGCTGCATATTTCTGAAGGCCCGATGATCTAAAAACCGGGGAGTGCGGGGTGCAGATGGATTGATATATAGACAGATAGATTCGCATGCGAGGATGGTCGTTGTGTCGGATTCAATGGCCCACATTACAGAATCACGCTGCGAATAATAAAAACATTTTCGCCAAATATTCGCATTCAAAAGCTACAAAATATGCCGCTAACGATGGTGGAGGGGGGTTGGGGGAAGGGCTATCTGATAGATACATTTTTATATAGCCTCTATGGCCGCACATTTCTGTCATAACACAAAATAAATATTTCATCCGCCCCGTGTCCGCTTGGCTCGCTGGTTTTTAGTATTCCTCGCTGCCGTCGTATTTATTATTAAAATGAAAATAAATTTTATATCAAATATATAATCCAAAGGGGTAAAGGGGGGTGGATGAAAAGCCAAATGGTGGGCGAGAAAAATGAGAGATAGACTCTGGCTAAAGCGCTTCGAATTTTTACAAATGAATTTATCACCAGGCCAACGAGGAGGGAGCAAAAAATAGACGCTGAACTGAAATCGCGCGACTCATAAATTAATTAAAACAATAAAACAATAAATGCACGAGGGCCGTTCGAGGAGAATTTCGTCAGCCCATATGTATCTATGTATCTATGTATCTTCTTATCTGGCTTGCAGCAGAGTGCATGATTGTGAATTATTTATTGCTTCAATTGTGGCTGGATTGAAACTGCTCTAACATCTCCGCACAAGACTGCATTTCCCCCATCAATCGATGCATCTGTGACACACTGACTTGACACCTGTCATCTTTTCGTTTAACCCTAGATGGCCAATGTCGCCGAGAGTCTTTCTCCACCCACCGAAAGCCATGTTCCCCCCTATTCCAATGTTAATTTTCTTCTTGACATGTTCTTGATGCTGTTCCATTGGCTTGGGATATTGTTCGACTTGCTCATGTTGTTGTCATTGCATAACAAGCACACACCCGAGCACACATCCCATGTCATATCCTTGGGCAGAGACGAGGAACAACGACCCCTTGACCCCGCCCACCGGCCACCTTTGGGGAACAAAGATGTTGTATTTATGTTAACTTTGACATAAGCCCAACATGCAACTTTCGGGCTGCTCCGTTGCAGTTGCATGTCCTCGCATAAAGTGTCAAAGTTAAATAATCTAGGCGATGGGAGTCAGGGGAGGGGGTCAAGGGAAGAGGCAGAGGTGCATATAGAAAAGTAGCCCCGAGCTCTATTTCGATCTGGTGCAATATGTATTCCCCAATTTGTAGGTTACTCAGATGCCAAGAGTGTTTGTACACACACACATCTTTCAAAGTCATGGCGCTTGAGTGCGTCAAGAGGAGTCAACATCCATCAGGATAATATATTTTATGTACTATATATGTACATTGTACAATCTACATAAATAATTTTCGCTTTACCCCAAGATGCTTTTGATTTGTTCTGAGCGAGTGACTGATGAAAGCTGTAATAATTATTTACAGATTTTATTCTATATAACCGAAACAATCGAAAATTATTAGCTCTGAATATTTTGCCTTGTTTTTAAGACCCTTTTAATATATACGGCCCTCTACACATTAGTTTACAATTTAAAATAAATATCTCCAATTTTTTATATGGGTCTGATGATTTACTATAGCCGTTCTTTATCTGGGATACCTTTAAAAACGTATGCCCAAATATGAAATTAAAATGATTATAAAGGATTGAATGGTACCGAACATTTGGACAATGTAATGCATTGAAAGCCAAAGTTATAGTATTAATAAGAAGTTTAGGGATAAAACCTGTATAAATATACCCCATATATTTTTATACCCGTTACTCGTAGAGTAAAAGGGTATACTAGATTCGTCGGAAAGTATGTAACAGGCAGAAGGAAGCGTTTCCGACCCCATAAAGTATATATATTCTTGATCAGGATCACTAGCCGAGTCGATCTAGCCATGTCCGTCTGTCCGTCTGTCCGTCTGTCCGTCTGTCCGTCTGTCCGTATGAACGCTGAGATCTCGGAAACTATGAGAGTTACAATACTGGGATTAGGCACGCAGATTCCTGAGATTCCTGCGCAGCGCAAGTTTGTTTCAGTAGAGTGCCACGCCCACTCTAACGCCCACAAACCGCCCAAAACTGTGGCTCCTACAGTTTTGATGCTAGATAGAAAATTTTAACTGAAATGTAATGTTCTCATCAATACCTATCGATTGACCCAAAAAAAAATTTGCCACGCCCACTTTAACGCCCACAAACCGCAAAACCCTGTGACGCCCACAATTTTCATGCTAGATAAAAATTTTAACTGAAATGTATTGGTCTCGTCAATACCTATCGATTGATCCAAAAAAAAATTTGCCACGCCCACTTTAACGCCCACAAGCCGCAAAACCCTGTGACGCCCACAATTTTCATGCTAGATAAAAAATTTTAACTGAAATGTATTGGTCTCGTCAACACCTATCGATTGATCCAAAAAAAAATTTGCCACGCCCACTCTAACGCCCATAACGCTTAAATCTGTATACCGCCGGTAGGTGGCGCATTTTAATCTCGCTTTGCTGCTTGCATATCTCCATTTAGCTGAGTAACGGGTATCTGATAGTCGAGGTACTCGACTATAGCGTTCTCCCTTGTTATACTTTGCTTCATGAATTGTAAAAAAAATGGAAAATGTTGACAATTTAATGCAATTAAGGACATTAAAAACCAAACTTGAAGAGCTTATAAAAAGCTTAAAGCTGAAACCTGTAACTACAGTATACTATCATGAAAATATTCCCATTTTTTATTGTATTTTACTTTACAAAAACTCATCTCACACATCTTTCAAATTAAAGTTTCCTTACACTCAGTTGCACATAAAGCAAATCGAAGGGAAAGCAGAGCCAAGTAAGATTTCTCTCACACAAAGGGGTTGAAACCTGTCACAGTTCTTTCACAAAATCACCAGAATAATTCAAGACCTTATGCGCACTATTTCCCTTAAATTTTATTACTTAAATTTCCTTTCCGTTACACTACACTATTAATATAATACATTCCTTAGGGAGATGTGCTAGTTTGGTATACACTGAATTTGGCTTTAATAGATTAAAGTTGAAGTGGGTCTTAGGCGTCTTCTTGAAAATGTTTTCCAAGAACTATATCTTATCCAATTTTAAATTCAGGAACCGTAAATCTTTGCAACAGTCAGTACGATATGTATTTATATTATAACTGCCTAGAAAGTTGTACTAAATGTTGCTTTAACTTTAAGTTTTTGAAAGTCGGATAATTATGAAAATGTTAATTGTTGAAAAGTTTTGATTAAGAAGTGTGAGTTTTGGCGGTTTACTTTTTTGCAGAATACTTATTATTACTTTAGCATTAGCAATCTTTGAACAATATTTAAAGCCACTTAAACTAAACTTATTTACCTTTACAAAATAGTAAAAGCACAAGTTATTTGAAATTTAAATTGTTTTCAGAAACTAGAATGATATTTGTTCATTAACTTCACTAATTACAACTCAGAAAATAAACATTTTTAACTTAGGTAAATTAAATTATAATATTATTTATTAAAAACTTATGTAAATATTAGTAATATTTTAAAAACTCACTTGACTGCTGCTCCTTTTTCTCCTCCTCGCACTTAGTATCCTTTGGTAAGCATCATTCTATGAAGTTGAGTATCTTGCGGATGCCGTCGGAAAAGCAGTGTTAGTTTTTTGCACAGGATATAGTTGGTTCCAAAATCGAGTTTATTGCACATTATCCCCCTCTCGCCGGCCCCCTCCCTCTCTGCAGCCCTCTCTTTCCCACCTTCCTTGGGCTTTGTTTGTTTTATGTATTTGTTTTGCTGTTTTTGGCGAGTTACTTTTTACTTTTGCGGCTTGTGATGTAGATTTTATGATTAATTAAACACGCGCGACCGCTCGGCCCACACACACACACTCGCACGCATGCCCCCGCCCCCCGCACGCACACCACGGCGCGTCCGTGTGCGCATATATATGTGTAGATGCGTATATATATATGCGTAGCAGCGAAGGCGGCGGTAATAAAAACGCACTGCGGTACCGTTAGACCCCAAGTGGTATTTGCAATCTTTGGGATTCAGTTCTGGATGGTACTGGTTAACTGGTTAACTGGGGTTCTGAGTTCTGGGTTCTGAGTTCTGGGAAAGGCGCTCTCGACTGGCAGGCTGCTTTTTGGCTCGCCGACTGAAACTATGGCCAAGAATCGAAATCGGGAATCGAATCGAATTCTCGGGCTGGAAACGAGTGCGAAACGAGAAGCGAGAATCTCGAAAACCGAGGCGAGTTGAGTGGTGGCGAAAACGAGTGTCCTTTTTGGCGACTGCGTTGGCGAGTGGCGCCCCCGCGCGGCCGGAGAGCAAATGGCAGATGGCGATGGCGACTGAGGCAGCGACGTCCTGCGAGCCGGAGCGTCGACGGCGCTCTATGGAATCGCAATCGGGGGAAAAACAGGAGTTGCCCACCGTGGCCGCCAAAATTCGCAGCAGCGAAAGCTTCTCTGCCGCCCGCTCTCTCTCTCTCTCTCGCCGGCTCTCCTCTCTCCACTCTCCGCCTCTGTTAACAGCTAACAGCTGGGGAAATGGCGTATAAGACTGCAGTTCGAATGTTAGGCCAGCGCTAACAGGGCTGTTGGTGTGGCGCACCTATAGCTGTGCTCCTCTAACTTCGCGCTCTCCCCCTCTCAAAAGAGAGAGCGGAGAAAAAACGAAACGTCTTCGTTTTTTATGAACGTGCGCAGCGGATCGGCAAATAAATAAAAACGCATATATAGCAAATTATGACAACTTTAGGCGGAGCAACGTCGACGCAGGCCCTTATTTTTTTCTTTAGCTTTTTTCTCTTTTTTCGAGACCTCTCCCGTTGGCTCGGCATCCCAATCATATTTTTCCTTTATGTGCTCGCCGCTCCTTTTATTTATCCATATTTCCCTTATGTCAGCTGCCGCTCCTTCGCTTCTTCTTCTTCCTCGAGGGCGTCTTGGCCGCCGATTGTCCTTTCTCGCAACGGGGATTTCGGATTGGCCGGCGATTTGCCGACGGGAAATTCACGTTGGAGTCGATTTCACTGACTTGGGATAATTTTGAAAGAAATCTGAGGTGGAAAAACGATTTATCTTATAGGAAAAATTAATGGTATAATATTATATTGTTGGTTTTTATAAAAAAATATTTTTATTTATTTGTATACGCTTTGAAAACGTTAAATATACCTTCGTTAGCTTGAGATTTGGGGTATATTTAGTTGGAAGCTAGATAAAAAAAAAATTATATCGATTTTTAGGGGGCTTACATTATAAGTTTCCTGGATTTATCAGGCACGTCGTTTATTTAAAGAAAAGAATACAAATTAAAACGAAATCAAAATATAATAATAATATAAATATTTTCTACTATACTACATTTTTAGTCTGCTTCATAAAAATATGTTATTTAAAGATTGAAGTAACGGGACTAAATACAATAAGTAAAAGTTTAGGGTTGAGCGATTTTAGTTTAAACAAAATTAAATTAAGTATAACCTTTCTCATTTAAGTTTCTTATCAGATAAATTGAAACGTGTTCCCATAAACTTTTTTAGTTTCTACTATCTTTCTAGGAGTGTCATCAGTATTGTATCCAAATTTTAAATAATATAGTTTTTATTCTGTTTCATAAAAATATAATATTTAATGATAAGTGATTTTAATTTTAAGAAAATTAAATGAAACATAGCCATTCCCATATAAGTTCCTTATCAGAACCGAAATGTAAATCAAGACCTATAGATGGTAATCGAGACTTAAAGCCAAAAACAATTAAGAGCCATTTCCATTGGATGAAAAGAACCTTTAAGCGCTTACCACTCCCAAGACCCTCCGAAAATATTCCCTAGTTCGCATGAATTATGCATTTGCGTTTGTCACACGATTGCTGTACATTTCATTCAATTCGATTCGATTGGATTTGATTTGATTTCAGTTCGGTTTATTTCGATTGAGAGCATCACGTACTGCTTGCACATACTACATTATATGTATCTAGAAATCTGCATGGTATCTACATGGCAACCCTAAAATTCAACGTGGAAGGGGTAACAGCTGCCACTTATGATTTACTAGAAAACCATTTCACTGGCAACAAAAATTTCAAAATGGTTGTTATAAAAAATGAATTGAGAAATGAAAACGAAATGAGACCGAATAAAATGATCAAACAAAGAGCTCACGCAAAGCAAACAAAGATGCGTCCTGTTTTCACAACCCCCGTGACCATCCCTACTTAAAAATTCAGATCCTGCCCACCTATACATACGTGTATGATGATATCAAATAATAACCCTCTCCCTTGATCCCTCTTCTCGCGCTTGCCAAATTAGCAGACTGTACATGGAATTTGAAATTAGATACCAATTCTAATGCAATTTTTTAATAAAAAGTGAGTAAGATAGGTAAATGTAGGAAAAAGATGGCAGCATCATCCATAGACACAAAGTCTAAGAAATCGCCCCCACACAAAATCATCTATCACAAAAGAAAACCCCCAGGAAAACGAAACCGAACCCATTTGATCTTCGGTTGAAAGATCTTCTCTTTTTTAATAATCATGGCGGTGTACCCTTTTACCTCTCACTCCAACAACTGCAACAGAGCGAGACAACAAGTAGCATTTCTATGCAAATCATTCCAAAACTCGTTTTTTATCCAACAATTTTTGATGACGCCGATTTGTCTCCCGATCATAAAAATCGTTAACGAAAACAGAAAAGTTTACGAGAGAATTCATAGAAAGATACACATAGAGAGGGAGAGGAAAACAAATCAAAGCATTTTCCCGACCAGAACATAATTAAATTTTGGAATAAATTATTACTACACATTGTGAGCAGCAAATGCGACAAATCTTTGCTTGACCCTCACCTCAAGACCGAAAACTCGAGGACCATCTTTTATAATTTTCGGTTTCCTCATTTTTCCTCCCATTTGCGATAAGAAAACGTGAGAAGGTTAGGAAAGGTTATGTCGGTGGGATCTGAGGAATAAGCAGGTTTCGTTTCTTTTTACATAAACATTTTTGTGGGAAATAATATTTTTTTGAAACTAAACTTATGGGAATTTGGCAATATTAGGTGAAATATAATAGTATAATTTAGGCTAGATTTGTTCAATGGAATACAGATTTTAATTCGTAAAATGTTTTATATAAAGTGTATTTATTCTCACAGCAGTTAACCATAAATACGAGTAGAAAGATATATATTTTTTCGGTCACGTCTAATTGCCCTACTCATTAGGCCCCAAGTTCGGTTCTAATTCCCAACTCTTACCCATCTCGACCATCAATAAAATGTAAAATGCACGTCGCTCTGTTGATCAAGATCGTTTGCTGGGTCTTCAATATATTATATCTCACGTGTGGCGGGAAATGAAATAAAATAAATTAAAATTGAAGTTAAAGCTGGAAAAGTTCTCTATTTTTATTTTTCCCATTTGCCGTAAAATTAAGTACTTACCAGTACCGAAGGTTCTTTTTGTCTGCGTGTGGGTTAAATGGTTTTTTGATATGTTTCGAGTGATTTACGTTAACGATGACACTCTTAGGGGAATCGATACATACAAAGGGTTTGGGTTTTCTAAGGCCTTTCTTTAAACTGGAATTGCCTTTTTTCTTGTTCGGGTTTAGTACTTTCAATAATTTTCAGTGTTTAGTTTAATTTAGAAAGGTTTACATTTAATTTAAGCTGAAGATAACAATCTTTGTATTTTTAAATGTTCAATTAGTTTGTTATATTTATCTAGATATTGCCAGCTATTTTTATCCCTGGCAAAAATATTGATAATATTTTTAAGCTGATAGAAAATACAAGATATGTTTCAGGTTTACTTTAAATTAGAATTCTAGTTTCTGGTCACTTGGTGTTTGCATTTCTGCCGCTTGCAGTTGTTATATTTGTTTTTCTTGCTTTCCTTGAATTTTGTTTGTTTTCAATAGCCTGGTTTAAGTTTATTAAAAATACATAACCTTTCTTACTGCCCATCTTTCTTAGATTTCCCTCTTAAATCAAATTAAATTTTCCCGAAAAACACAGAGACAAGCCCCGAAAACTGGCAAGGCATTTAAGAGTTGACCTTGTCTCGGGCTGATTGTGGGCGGGCGGGATTCTGGCTCCGGCTCTTTGGGCCATTTACCCGATTGCGTTTAATCGATTTCTTTGTAAACTGGAAACCAATGTCAACAGCCTCGCACAGATAAACCCACACAAATAAACAAATTCCCTGGCAAATTCTGGCAAAAAGGAGCCGACGAAATTTGCTCCTTTCGAGCGAGAAAACATTTACACACTTAAACGAAGCAAAAGAATTCCTTGTGGGGCGGCATAAAATCTATATCTATATCGCAAGGAAAACTAAGAGATTGTAGTGCAAAGAGCGAGGGAGAGCGAAAGGATACGGACCCAGGACAGGACTTCCTCCTCCCCGCCCCCCGGGGCGACTTTTCGCTTAGGTAAATACTCGAAAGCAGTTTGTTTGTGCGAGGAAGAGCGGCAAAATGTATCTGCTGGATACATATCGACTGCCAGACTGTTAGACTGCCTTGTTTGGTTTGGCGCCCATTTTAAAGTGCCTCCATCGATTTTTTCACTCAACTCGGCCACTTTGACTCATAACTCAACTTTTGCGGCTGCCATTGGCAATTAACACGCCCACTCCGCCGCCCCGCGAACCATCATCGTTCCGAATACTTAATGGCAAATTTATGTGGCGCTGCATTCCCTCCTAATGAAAATGGAATTCATAAAATAAAGCAGCATAAAGTATTTTAGGGGGACATAATAGTATGGACTTGACTCGTGGCAGCCACATGTTCAATCGGAGCAGATCGCTAAAGTCCCGCCCCGAATGGGGGTCGGAATCCAAGTGCCCAGCAGATGTCGGGGAACTTCTTGAATTGGCTGAGGAATTACCAGCTCACATAAATTATATGAATCATATTTTAAAATCTGATGAGCAAATATGTTGAGATAATCAAGGGCCTCAAAGAATTCTCGGGCAAGAACTGTGGTAAAGGGGGAAAAACTAATATTTCATTAAGGAATTTTTATTATTTAAATTTAGTTAGTCAAATATTCTGTGGTTAATATGTTGAATAATAAATAGATTTCACTGATTCCAGACTATTTTTATTTCACGCATTAAAAAACACGTATTTTATCCAAATTTATTATATTCAGTTAATATATTTTCCGCTACATTTTTCATTTCTTGCCGTTTTTATTATTTGTAAATATGGAAATTTGCTTGTTTATTTATTTGTTCTACTGTTGCAACGTCGAAATAATTATTTAAAAGTTTTATACTCCCCATATTCAAATACAATTTTTAAATTTTACATTGTATAAAATGCTTAAAAAATATATTGCATAACATCGTA